TTGACGCTAGGCTTAACGCTGGCATTACGCTGGTGCGACGATGTGAGACTGCTACTGCTTGGGTGCTGGCGCCTTCTCTGTCTACGGCGCCGGTTGGACTCTTGATTATGCTAACGTGGCTCAAGCCACACTGTCTACGACATTGATGGGATGTTGGCGAGGAGGAGGAGGATCAGGGCTGTGAGAGTGGTTGATCGTAAGGAAAGCTTACCTGTCTGTGTTCGTGTCGGCATTGTGCATTGCTGTTCGTCTTCAGAGGAATCTGCGCCGTGTGCGCCATGATTAGATCTGTTCATTGTCAGAGCGTGTCAGAGGAGACTGTCTGCTGATGTGGCCAGCAGGGGGTTCACGAAGGAGGAGTGGACTAGTGAGGGAGATCTATCTGCTGAGCTGATGGGTACTTTACTACTTTCTCTTCCACCCTCTAAGTCTGATCGGATCGGTGGCCTGGGCTGGGTCCTAGCTACTTGATCACGTGTATGATTTCAGAGACATTGAAACTGCGCTAAGACATTCTGTGATTCAGCATTGACGAGCTTTCTATCTGACTGGGTTCATTGCATAGGACCTTTTTGACTGATCCGTGGATGAAATTCCACCCAACTGTTGGTCGATAGATGTAATAACCTGCAAAATTGCAGACTGAGAAACGTGATGTTTTCTGAGCTTTGTCGCTTGTCAGAGCTTGTCAGAGGAGACTGTCTGCTGATGTGGCCAGCAGGGGGTGCCCGAAGGAGGAGTGGGCTAGTGAGGGAGATCTATCTGCTGAGCTGATGGGTACTTTACTACTTTCTCTTCCACCCTCTAAGTCTGATCGGTGGCCTGGGCTGGGTCCCAGCTACTTGATCACATGTACGATTTCAGAGACATTGAAACTGCACTAAGACATTCTGTGATTCAACATTGACGAGCTTTCTATCTAACTGGGTTCATTGCACAGGACCTTTTTGACTGATCCATGGATGAAATTCCACCCAACTGTTGGTCGATAGCTGTAATAACCTGCAAAATTGCAGACTGACAAACCTGCTGTTTTCTGAGTTTTGTCGCTTGGTTGAGTAACTTGCTGAGATTCCCATATTCTGCTGAGGTTTCAAAGTTTGTGTATGTGCGTGATTGCTGAGTTTCCATGTGTTTGCCTGTCTCTGCATGATTGCATGAGTGTGTGTGTGTGTGTGTGTGTGTGTGTGTGTGTGTGTGTGTGACCCACTGCAGTACTTGTGTGCGGAGAAGGCCCACGGGCCTGTGGCCGTGTTGTTGCGAGGTCGCAGCGGGGTAGTAGAGTAGGAAAAGGCCTGCGAACAGTGCGAAGGCCAAAACACTCAAGTAGTGGGTAGGTGGGCAGAAGAAGACAAAAAGTTAGTACCTTGGAGGCCGAAGTAGAATGTAGAGTCCGGTAGGCTAGAGAAAAAGGTACCAGTCCAGGCAGCCTGAGTCTAGACCCTGCAGGAGGGGATATCAGACTGCAATGATGTTTCCCTCCAAGTAGCAGAGGTACCGGGTAGACTCAGAGGCTTGGAAGTGACCGTATGAAGAGGCACTAGTCCGGTATATCAAGGGATGCAGCAAAGAGCTCTTCCTCATTTGCAGGCATGCAGCTTGGAGGCATGCTGCTGGTGCGACCACCCAGCTGAGCAGCACTGGGTGAGGAAGAGGCAGGCTTGGCCCTTCACCTCAGCTATGGTGGACCGGAGCAAGGAGGAGGAGCACCCGAGGTAGTAGTAGCAGTAGTAGGAAGACAGTGAGCAAGGAGGAGAGTGACACGGGAGCCTACTTGGCTATGGTGGTCTGCATCTTCACGTTCTTGGTTGGCGCTGCACCTGGAAGGCCCCAGTTCGGGTTGGCATGAGCGAGGAAGACTCCAGGGCAGTAGAGGGGCATGGCGGACATAGTAGGAGGGACATAGTACCTTTATGTTGTCCTTTGAACATCGGGTTTGGACCCGATAGTCCGCCATAGCGAACGACACACATGAGAGAGAGAGAGAGAGAGAAAGAGAGAGAGAGAGAGAGAGAGAGAGAGAGAGAGAGAGAGAGAGAGAGAGAGAGAGAGAGAGAGAGAGAGCCAAATTAGAAAAGGAACATGTAGCCTGCGAGAATAGGGATGCAAACTGGACTGTGAACACTTGCAACAGCTTCACGGTGTTGTTGACTGTCACATTGTTAGTTTTGCACGAGCCCGTAAGGCCTTACTGTGAGTACTGCACCAAAAATGAAGAATAGACTGAATTGTCCAAATATATATATATATATATATATATATATATATATATATATATATATATATACATCGTCACAAACAGAACTGCCCGGTAAACCGTAGGCAGAGAGAGAGAAGANAGAGAGAGAGAGAGAGAGAGAGAGAGAGAGAGAGAGAGAGAGAGAGAGAGAGAGAGAGAGAGAGAGAGAGAGGCTATGGTAGTTCTCTTGCGAGGCTGGCAGTAAGGGGAGGATTCAGACATGGGTTCTGGCTCATTCTTTTGTTGCTGTTATTATTATTGTTATTGTAATGAAGAGTTGGGGGAGTAACTGAAAGTTGAAGATGGTGGCGAATATGAAGGGTGATTGGCATCGTTCTTTGCGGTTGTTCATCTTCTTCTGCATCGTTCTTATTTCTTCTGGTTCCTTCATCTATTTCTCTTTGCAAGTTCTTTCATTTCAGTTGCAATTGAATGACATAATTGACATTGTCTTTCTTGGAGTTGCTCCACTGCAAAATAGCCAGGATCATAACATAGCTCGCATCATTGGTGATAAATGTTGTCGTTGTACGTGGGAAGCGAGAGAGAGAGAGAGAGAGAGAGAGAGAGAGAGAGAGAGAGAGAGAGTGGCATACTGCGTAGCCACACGGGCCCTGCAGGGCCCGTCCCCCACTTTCAGCCTAAAAGCCTAGAAAATAGGGCTTACAGGCCCCGGTCGTTTCAGCCTGAAACTGAAAAAGAGGGCCTGCAGGCCCTATTCCGTTTTCAGCCTATTTCTGGGCCTTTCAGGCCCAGAGGCTTTTCAGCCTGAAACGGAGGGCCATTTTCAGGCCCTCATTGTGTTCGACCTACCTAAGACTCAGGCACAAAACAGGGTTTTCGGAACAGGCTATCTTTAGCCTGTTCCCCACGACAGCTCGAGCAGGAGCTGCAGCTGCAGCCCCTGCCTCCCTTCCGCATTGGCAAGAGCAGCCTCCTGGACTGCCTCGCCTGCAGTYAGGAGGCACCYGGTAGTACATAGGAAGTTCCCATGCACTTCACGGGGAGGTAGTTGGACAGTAGACGAGTAGTCTKCAGGATTCGGCCGCARCACTCAGGAGGAGCGCTGCCAGGAGTAGCTTAGCGCTAGCAGTAGTCTTCAGCGTTGGGCGCTAGTAGCCATMGCGGTAGTCTTCAGCSCTGGGCGCTAGTAGGTGGTAGATAGTAGAGTTGGTAGAGATGGCTGGCGGAGGCCAGCGATACTTACCTGTGGCGCCATAGCTCCAGCTCCATCTTCGAGGTACCTGCATCAAGGCGCCAACTTCACAGGTTAGTAC